ATGAACATGTAATTGCTAAAATATATAAACTTTTGTTGAAATTTGAAACGGAGGAAGATCAAGTGAAAGAATGTATTATAAAACAGCTAAGAACTTTGGACATAACATACTGATGGAACAATGGGAAAATGTGGCTGAAAGGACTGAAAAAACAATATGTGGTTTTATTGTATTTTATACTATTTTTATTGTATTTTAATTAATATTTATTTGTTGTTTTTAATGTAAACCGCCCAGAGCCACTTTCTCATGAGATAGGTGGTGTCCAAATTTGAAATATAAAATAAATAAAATTTATAATTTAAAAGAAAACTTTTATAAAATGATGTACCATTGGTACATGACTCTAGAGAAATTATCTACAATGTATAAAGGTACTTCAAATTTATGCTGGAAATGTGGAGAACATAGTCATTTTATCATGCCTGGTGGACTTGCAGAGAAGCCAGAAAATTTTGGATTCAAATATATACAATGATACAAAGAATTTTAAAAATTAATATTCAGTTGAAACCAGAATTCTTGTTGGGACTAACAGACAGACAATTAGAAAAGAGTTATGGAAGGTTATTTTTATTTTTTATACACACACACACACACACAATATAATGTTGGTTATCACCTTTAAAGCCCTACATGGCATGGGTCCAGGTTACCCAAGGGACTGTCTTACCCCCATCACATCAAGCCGTCCCACCCGGTCAGGCAGAGAGGGCATGTTGCGGGTCCTGTCAGTGAGAGAATGACGACTGGCGGGGCCCAGGAAAAGAGCCTTCTCTGCCGTTGTTCCCGCCCTTTGGAACATTCTCCCCCCAGAGGTGCGGCAGGCCCCTACCCTACCAGCCTTCCGGAAAGAAAAACCTGGCTCTGCCAGCTTGCATGGGGGCATAACAACTTTATCCAATCTTGGGGGTGGGTAGCGCCTCCATGACGCTCCCTGAGTGATTGCCAGTTATTTTCTATTTATTATTGTAATTTTGTAATTTTAATTGATTTTAATTGTTTTGTAAACCGCCCAGAATCATTCAAGAGAGGGGCGGTGACAAATTCGATAAATAAATGTTTTTTAAAAAAATGATAACTGCTGCAAGAGTATTATATGCACAAAAATGGAAAGACTCTGAAATACCCACAATGCCTGGTGAAGATGACAGAATTAGCAGAGATGGCAATACTGACTTGTTTGATTAGAGAAAGGACAATGACTATATTTATTAGTGACTGGAAACCCCTTATGGACTTTTTGCTGAAAACAGAAAAAAATGAACTTGTGATTTATGGATTGATGATTAGAAAGGGTAGACTATGGAAAGAAGATTATTTTGTAACCTTAGAGAAAGAGGGTAAAACATAAATGTACTTGTAACTGCAGTTAAAGAAAACCAGAAGCTGCTTCTTTATAGCCTTTCCTTTGCTTCCCTTCCTTCTCTTCTTTCTTTGCACTTAAAAACTTTTTTTTAACTTTCCTTTTCTCTTTCAAACTTTTGTATTTTTATTCTTTTAAAATGTCTTTAATAAAATCGTATTAAAAAGAAATCAGATGTTCATGATAGAAAAGTCTTGTTATCTGTGTTTCTCATGATGTAATATGTATGTTAAGATGTTGTAAGTTAACAGGGAAGCAATGTTATTTCCATTCAGGATAAAGCTCTCTCTTTTGCAGAAGCAGAGGCTCATATAAGTATTGCAAATTCCACTTTAAATACCACTAATCCAGCTACATTATGAAACATATGCTTCATATTTTCTAGTTGAATTTATGATCCAACCGTATTAACTTAGGGTAGGCAACCTGGGACCTATCTTATGTTTCAAACTACAGCTCTCAAACTCCCAAAAATGGCAGTTATAGCCCAAAACATCTGGATGTATCCTTAAATCCAAGAAGAAGCTGTTATTCATTGTTTTGACTTTCTAATATAATTTCTTTCCTTTTTATAATTGTTTTCAGAGAAATAGGTGTATTAGTCTTTGGCTGTGAAAATATCAGTCTTTTGGCATTGCAAACACTAACTTATTTATCATGGCAAAAATTTTCATATAGTTCACATCATATGATTCAGAAACCTTGTGCCATAATGTATATTTAATCGTTAAGGTGCCACAAGTTTGTTCTATGTTACAGAATTGTTTAATTGTTCATAACGAAATGCTTCTAACAAGCAAAGTCTCAAAAAATTCTGCACAGTGCAAGTTGATGTAAGTTAGACCAGCCCATGATTGCCCTTAGAGTAAAAACATTGTATTTGGTGGAATACTTCCAAGAACTGAAATGTATGTTGTTTTGGCTCTTGATTAATCTTATTGAGGTCTGGGTGCAGAAAAAAATGTACTCCAGAGGAAAGAGTTTTGAGGGTTGTTACTATCACAGAAAATTTATTCTGAAAAATTTATCCAGTTTAAACTGCGAAATATATAAATAGTGCAATATGCATTGTATTGGAACATGCAACACAAAAATTATAGTATATTAATGTACTTGCTGATAGTGAAATTTAATTCAAAACGTATATTCATGAATTTATTAAATACAAAGTACTTTGTTTTATCCCTTCTAGTTAATTACACATTATACAGATGAATATTTGAAAGCTTTTTACTTTAGTTACATAATAACCAATAACATGGCTTAATATCTTGGGTTATCTATAAATGATGGACTAATTTAAATCAATTAAACTGTTTCATTGATTAGAGGATACCAATATAGTTTAAGTACTATAGTTAAATACTCCTTTGAAACCCAGTCCATGAAACTACAAAATCCATAATGTTTTCTTAAGCATTCTGCATATAGTTATTTCTGTCCGAGCTGACAATACTCTGCATGTGTTTTCTCACAGTTGCAAGATGCAATCAAGGCTGGCAAAGGTGTGACTTCAGCTATTGACCTATGTCGTTGCCATGGAAACAGTGCACTGGAAGCTCTAGAATGTTTCCCTCCCTCCGAGGCCAGATCTGCCTTAGAAAACATTGTTTATGCTGTGACAAGATTTTCTTAATGTGGAACTGAAAAAAAGAAACCGCTGTTCATTTGTGGAAAGACGCAGAACAGAACAGGTGATTGCGAAAGTGAGATGTGCCATTGCTAGGGATCCAAATGCATTTGTGGCTTTAAAAAAAAGTGTTTCTGTTCCATTCACTACATTCCCAAATGAACACATCTCCTTTGGAACTGCTACAAACAAAATTAGGGAAAAAAAGGTCAAACAGTTTTCAGTTGTCATGCCAGAAGCACACTTGAGGCTGCACTGGTAGAAATAATTAATGACACTAGCTTGTGTGACCTCAGCAAATGGACAGGAAATAAGTCCTTATTGATTGGACATAGTCAGGGATGGCGCCAGCATGGTGGCCTGTGGTTTTCCTGCAGTAGGGAAGACAGAGGGGGCCATGGAGCTGCAGGTGTTGGGAGCAGTGGTTTCTAAATCTACCAGAAAGCGGGGTGCTTAAAAGTAGAATTAATCTAGCAATTTATCAACACAAAGGGCAGAAAGGAAAGGATTTTTATCTGACTACATAAAATGTTTCTTTAGCAGTCTCTCTGTGCACTGAAACATAAAATAACTTTGTCCCTAATGTGTTTAAAAAGGTTGCTGAAAGAGCAGTGTAAGTATGGAAAATGCTCTTTCGTGCTGAGTGTTCTGTTTGTGAAATTTTCAGTTTGATTAAAAATGGAGCTTTAAACTCTGCTTGCATTTTCTATATCATGCAAAAGCAGATACTGTATTTTCTTATATTTACCAAGAGATTTACTCAGTGTTCATTTTTGCCAAATAAATGTTACTTCAATCAATTTCTGCTTCAATTCTCTATCACAAAGTATTAAGTGATAGTTCTTTTTCTCTTCCCTCCGTACAGGATTTCATTCCCTGAATGGATGTATAAGAAGTGTTTTAACCTTACTGTGTCAAATGTTAAAGTCTAATTACAGAGAGAATACATGGTATATCAGAAGCCTGCAATCAGACACTGTCTCTATTTTGTTCATAGGAGATGATTTTTGTGGTTTGCATGCTTGCAATCTGAGAACATCGTTGACAAGAAGGCTGAGTTTACATAAATGATCCAGATTGAGACTCAGCTACCTTTCTTCCTTGTGTGGTGTAATTACAGCCCAATCTGGAGACAGCTAGCACAGCAAACAGATTTCATTACATTGCTCTTTCAAACACTAAGTGGAGTTATTTTAGTTAATTTCTTTCTCTGTGTCTCTCAAGTGATGTGTCATACACCTTCTGCATAATGGCAAATATTTCACCAACAGGAACATTACTTTTTAAAGTTGAATATTTCATTTCACTTATGAGACAGAATGAGTATTTGACTAGATTGGACTTCTAGTACATTTCTTATTTCCAAAAATATTATTACACTTTTATATTCAGTAATTACATGAATAAATCAAACTATTTCAGTCCTAAGGAACATTCAGTTTTGACGAGTAGATAGACAGATAGATAGCAATTTTTAAAAATTAGCACATGTAACATAGTAATCTGCAATTTACTATCAACATACATGTTATCTATTATAACCTTATAGCAGTCCTTGTAATAAATATACCCAGAAAAAAGGCACAGAAAGAATATAGCTAAATTATTAAGATATTCAGGTTCTGATAAAGGTAGATGGGAAACTGGAACGACCTGAAAATTGTCAGAATTTGTAACTATTATTTCTTTAACAATATTCATTAACTTCTTATCCTAACAATTGCTTCACCTGTGAAGGACTTTCTGGGTACATTACAGTGTTTGTATCATCTGATAAGATACACAAGGGACTTCAGGAGGAAGTTCTGTCATGTGAACAGAAATCTTCTCATGCAATTGTAATTTTTCTATATCTTCAGGTATCTAAAAATATGAGTATTTGATATTATTATTGAGTATTTAGCTTCCACTACAATTTTAAGAAATCATCTGAAATGCAATTTGCTGGATTCTTAGTCTTCAAAATAAGTTAAGTACACCAAATGAGACATCTGCAAGCACAGCTGAACTAGGTTGGAGTTTTGTACGCCTGCCAACTTCATGGGGGAGGTATGTGGCTTGTCACTGTTATGACGACACTGATACTGTTCAATAGCTGCCCCTCAAACATTGACATTTTAGAAATCATAGTTAATATAGATATAAACTTTTTATTTACCTTTAAAAGCTTAAGTTATCTAACCATTAGAGTGTTGTTAATCTCTAGTCAATACTGTATAAATACTGTACTCAAATAATATTATGTACTAATTATGTTTTATAATAATACAATAAAACAAATTATAGAAGAAAAAAGCTCCCCTTGATACTAGTGCAGCAGTACTCCCTCACACACTTTCAGGCATAGAACACATGTTAGATGAAGGGAAGCTGCCATGGCTACAACATTTTTGCACCTAGTAGCAGTAAGAATGCTTGTAAAGAAAATGATCATTTCCTCATGGAAATAATTTCATTTTGGAGATATGTGCAGATTTCTCAGGACAAGCTGAAAAATGTAAATACATTAGTGGGCAATGTCAAGTTTTATTGAAGTGTTCAATGAAAAATATCTGCCAATTGAACTATAGGAAGTTGAAGATATATTTGAATAGATTTTTTGTAATGCCTTACACTGCAATTTGATGCCAAAATCACAAGTTACCGATATCTATACAAGCTCACTTCTAATCAAGTTTTCTTGCCCTTATATGTAAACCAATACATGGTTCAATATGTAACTGAAGATTAAATGGGACAAGCAAATCAATTATGTAAATAAGGATAAGTAAAAAAATAAAAGGTACAATCCATTTGCAAGAGGTCATATATGATCTTCCATTCAAAGTTTGCAGATGTGTACCATAAGATTTCTACCTATTCATAGGATTTTTATATTTGGTTTTATTTTATATTTAAGGCATTGGAATCCTACAGGCAAATCATAATCCGCATCTTCTGAACTTATGATGGTTTCTTTCATCAATCTATCAACTGTTTTAGGAAACATGATCAGGTGGTTCAGTTCTGTTGGGATTGCATTAGAAATCACTCCATTTCCTGAATTATGCTTTTCAGTCCATAACACTGTAAACAGTACAGGCAGACTGCAGAATCTGATCCATTGTGTAAATCTTTTGAAATAGTCGGCTGAAACCTATCAAAAACAATCAGCAATGTATTGCTAGAAAATGCAGCATATTCTTCGCTAACACATCTCTAAAGCCTACCCACTTCTTTCTTTTGCTAGCTTTCAATGACAGCTTATTTTCCTAAGGGCACACTATTTTTATGGAACGTACAGATTTTTTATTCAATGTTTCCATTAAAACACCTAGTAATGAAAGTGTCTTGGGTTACTTGTGTCAGCCATTAGGAGTGGCATCTTATTCTGATAGACTTAGGGGTGAAACCAAGTGTTTTCATATATAGTTATTATCAAGGGACTCATCAATACTTTTGCTATTAGGTCAACCTATCAACTTATCTATGCCCAACAGGACATTCTTATCCTTTTTGTTTACTGAAGAATTGTTAAGGAATGAAATCTTCAAGCACTGCCTGTAACAATCCATCCTCTTCTGTAGAGTGTTTGAATGCAGTACAGTTTGGTGTCCTTGATCAGTAAATTAATGTGCCTTAAATCTAAATGAAAATAAATTTACAGAAGCAGGAATGAATACACATTCACATAAAAATATGTTGGCTTTATAATTGTTTTTCATATTCTTCTAACATTACTGATATGCTATATAAAATTGTTATCCTCTGCATTAGTCAAAAGAATACTTTGGCTCCCCCATGTGTAACAGATTCTCACATCCACAAAATTTGAAATTCTGAATAAATTATGTCAAGGCCTTTCTTAATGCTTGTGCTTGAATAATTCTTCCATAATACAAAATTAATATACAGTTTTGTTTTTTAAATAGGTTTGGTGGTACTTGTCAATAAGACATCATTTGATTGAATAACCTGGGCTGCTTGATAAAGTACAACATTCTGTGAACACCACCCAACCATTTAAAATATTTTGCTTGTTGCAATAAAAGAGATCTGATAGTTTTGAAAAATTGAGGATGGGGATAGACAGAATTTTATCTCCTCTCAAACCAACCAGTGAAACTGATGGGAAGAGTTATGTACATTACAATATGTAATCAACTTGTAGAATCATCACAAGATGTGGTAATTGCCACTAATTTGAATGGTTTTAAAAGAGCATTGGATAAATTCAGGGAGGACAGTCTATAATTGGCTATTAGTCTTGAGACTCAATGTTATCTCCAGATTTCAAGCAATAGCTGCAAGGGAACAGGAGATGGGGTCCCCCCCCCCCAATCTTGGTGTTGTACCTTGAGACTTTGGTTAGCCAGTGTGTGAAATAAAATGCTGGTCTAAGATGGGCTTTTGCCTAATATAACTATTCTTATGTTTAGCCTGTATCTGGATGATTGTGCTATGTCCACTCATTATTTGAAGACCAATAAATCACCTCCCTTTTTATAATACAAAAGAGTCTACAAAAGTTGTTTCAATGTGAAAGGAAAATACATTTATGGGACCTTCTTTGTAGCTTCTCTTATTGTAAAATATTTGACTGAGATTTCAGGTAAAACTCTCCAGCTTCATTCTGTGTTTCTGTTGGTTCTCACCTATTTTCTATTCATATACACACAGACGCTTCTCTGTTATAGTATTTATAACCTACTAAACAATAACATGCAGCAGTAAAAGGCATGCATTTCATATGCAAATCAGTGGCAATAATTTTACACAATCGCTAACTTGCTTGCATCATTATGTAACAGCGGCATAACAAAATGAATGCCACAAAGAATGTTACCAAAATGTGCTTTTCTGAGAAAGACTGCCCTCCTCTTCACATTTTACTTTAGTTAATATTGCAGTTCATTCATTGATGACAAATAAGACACAAATACTTGTTGTTGTTTAGTCGTTAAG